GATTCACCTAGGCACTTTGTGTTAGTTGGCAGTCTCACACTTTTGGTTTAACAGTTGAGAGCTGCAAATGCATTCAACCCTTTAAAGCATTATGTTATATCTGCTTGAAGTGAATAAAGCAGTGACACTTTGTGCAAGCCAACCTTTTACATTTTCCTTATGACAGTTCAGTATTGGCTTTCAAAGTGACCCAACTCAAACAGCTGGAACTACAAACTCACTCGAATCCTGCTTTCATCTTGCTTGGCGTACTTGATGATGGCCATGAAGTCTTCATCCTTGTGTGCTGATTCCTGCAGCCAGGCCTCCAGGGTCTGCTGGTCCCAGTTCAGCTGACTCTTCAGTTCCTCAAGCTTCTGAGTGGCTTTAAAGATGTTGTTCTGTGCAAATATTGGCAGTATTTAAAAAGATTTTAGTATTTAAAAAGTTCAGTTTCTGATAGCTGCATTTATGAATTTTCAGCATCATTACTCCTTTCTCTCTTGTCCTTCAGAAATCATTTTCATTGGCTGGCTTTCAGCTCAGGAAACATTTCTGACTATCATCAAAGTTAAAAACAGTTGAGCTGTTGAAACGGCAGTTGACAAAAAACTCCCGACAATGTAAGCTGTGGAAAATTGTAAGTAATCTAGGAGCTTTATTCCGCTTTTTACAGCGGATGCCATTGGAAACAAGTCTATCCCTCACAGCCTCACTTTCATACCTGTCATGGCGCTGCTCTGAATAAGGTCTATACATTTGTAGTTTGTGAGACACCAATGAATGAGTTTCTTTATGGTTGCTTTGAGACTGTTTATGCATAATAGGTCATGCAATATGGATGAGGTTGTGGATCAGCCGTAACCTCTTGTGCGTTCTTCTTCTCATTCAGTGTTTTCAGTTGATTCTCCAGCTCAGTGATCTCCTGCTTCAAGCGGCCTGTCTCTCTCTCCGCCAGCGCTCTCAAATGCTCCTCAGATTGAGTCTCCTTCTCTCTGGCTTTGCACAAAGCCTGAACACATCATGCGAACAATCCCGTTCAAGCATTACACATTTAGCCTTAGTTCAAAACCAGAAAATACAGGAAGAATCAACTTCCACTACTGCCATTATCTCATAAGTTACCTGAGTGTGAGAAAGCTCTTGGTTTAGATTTTTGAGATGTTCAGTCAAAGCATTTATAACATCTTTGCATTTATTCAGTTTGTTCTCGATATTTAATTTCTCCTTTTGTTTCATTTGAAGCTGTAGAGAAAAGAAGAATTTAAGAAAACGAAATTTAGGTACACACACCTCTTAAAATCGGTTATTCAGACACGTCATTTAGCATACACTTATTACTCACCTCCTCCTGTAATGCTTTATTCTCTGCATTTGCTACAGGGAGGGCGAAACCCGCGTCCCAACCAACTTCTGCTAACAAGAGATCGTTAGACATTTTGCTCTGTTTCAGAGACGTTCAGTAACAAAACACACGCAAAAAGGTTTTATCAGACGTTTACAAACGCCGTGGCTTATCGTTGTGTTCACAACAGTCGTTTCATAGCAACAACGCTAAGATGTGCCGCATTCAACCTACAGGTGTCGCCAAACGCTCCTCTATCGAGAAGTACAGCAGAATTACAGTTTTTCTCGATACATTTGCCCACTCTGACATCACATTTTCAAAACAGTTAACACATAAAACTAAAGCTCAATGGCCAAAATGACACATTTTGTTAGCAAAATGCTCTAACACTCACAAAACATTAAAAACACACAAGCAAATATTTCCATCAAACACCACAACTTGGTCAAATTAATAATTAATTCTTTCAATCAATCATTACACAATGGACAACAAAATACAAAATACAGCCATCAATATGAAATGATAATTTACAAACTCAAATGGATTCTGGAAAAGACAAGCTACCACCAAAGGAAACTTATGGGTGGAAATACCTTTAAAAAAAAAATATATATATATATATATATATATATATATATACATATATATATATATATATATATGTGTGTGTGTGTGTGTGTGTGTGTGTGTGTGTGTGTGTGTGTGTGTGTGTGTGTGTGTGTGTGTGTGTGTGTGTGTGTGTGTGTGTGTTGATAGTTGATGTGACGTGGATTTTTCACTGTCACAGAAGACAAAAATAATTTATTCCACATTTTCTTCATTTAGAATACTGTAAATAGTTAAGCATTTTCTTGTTTTACATGAATTTGTTGTTTTACTGTATCAAAAAGACCCCATTCAAGGTCATGTGACTGAAGACCGCTATGAAGCTCATGAGCAGTGCACATAGTAAGTATTTCTCTCAGAATTGATCAAATATTTAACTGTTTTCAGACCACTGAAGTTGTTAAGTTTTTTTTTTTTTTTTGTCCTTTGGTGTTACACGCCTAAATTTAATTTTTTTGATTCAAATTTGTATTTTTAACAGCAGGACTATGTAATATTATGCAAATGTATCATGCAAATTACTAATGACAGTTCAGCTAGCATTAGCCTAGTTATTAACATGCCACAAAAGCTCAAATGTCCTTTGGTGTGACAGGAAATGTCCTTCGGTGTGACACTTTGGCCAGGACACAGATGTCACACAATAGGACAAGACCTCCTTATGAAGCTATTAAAACAAATAGATAAAGTTTGTTAACATTCTTTTCAATCTTTTTTGACCAGTTTTGATCATTTTAAATTCAATAATGACTTAAATTTGAATGTTAATTGCCGTTCTTTGGAGACTACATAAAATGTTCTGAAGTATTACTAAAACAATAATGTATAATGTAACAACTATAAACAAATATAAAGTTCATAAATACAGTGCTACTACTTATAATGCTATTTAACTTTTTTAGAACAAAAAAAAAACTAAGGGAGAGATCAGTGCTAAAGAGGGGACCAGACAGTATAGGGAGCAAATTTCAAAGGATCCTAAGAGAACGACGGAGAAAGTAAATCAAACTGAATGTTTCCATATACTTCATATAGCCTACATCTTAAAATAATTCAGGAATCTTGCTGAGTGACTGAATGACAGCTTATTATTCAATATCAGAATAGACCTGTGTGAGGTTCAGGTTCAACAAAATAAGCTTGTTATTACAGAGTAATAATCTATATTGTGTTTTATAAGAAATTGACAAATGGCTACATTTGTTGGGAAAACACAGTAGGTCATGAGTTCATAATTGAGTACTCATTAATTTCTCTGTTGTTCCATTCATCTATCATTATTTCAAACAGATATCATGAAAAGAAGGCTCTAAGGGAATTGGAAATTTCATTTTTACTTATGCAATGGATTTTATTTTCATGTCAGAAGCCAAGTTCTCATACACTTGTCAATCGAGTTATCGATTAAAGTTCGATTAAAAAAAAACCTCATGCAAATAAAGCTGGTGAAAGTGTGTTTCCATCCAACGGCTTTAAAGCGAATAAAAACCTGCGTGCGTAATGACGTCACCTGCTGTTTTGCGATCAAATTGGTGTATCGATTTGGTTTGAGACATTTTACGGTGTTTCCATTCTTTTTCGCTCTGAATCGCTCAACATTCAAGCACGCATTTGCGAACAAAGTTTTTCAACAAAATGGATCGCGCCATAATAACGTTTCCATCAGCATTTATCGCATTAACCGTATTTCGATCAAGATAAAATCCAGACCGAACGATTTCGAAATCAAAATGATCGATTTCATTTGAGTCGATATTCATGAAATTCAATCGAATTTTACTGTTTCCATAATGCATTTTCATTCGATTTCACTTTATTCGTGTTAAAATATGTGGATGGAAACATAGGAACAGTTACTGTTTAACTGATGAACAATTACATTGTCACAGTATTGTTTTACAGTAAAATGGAATTTTACTGTATTTCTCAAAGATATTATATCCATCAATGTTTCCTTATTGATGGATCAATACGTGTCATTACTTTCTTTTGCACAGTTTATATTGCAGAAAAATAAAAACAAATATCCTCCTTTACAATTGTTACTATACAGTTTTTCTCGATTGTTTACACACATTTCATGCAAGTATGCCTCATACTCTCAGAACTCTACACACAAATCTAAAAACAGACACAATCGGCAAAACCCATAGTGCAAAATGAAACTTTACATTCAAAACAATGTTATATATTCTCAAAATGTTATTTTGTTTTCAAATGACACACAAACCATTATATGAATAGACATTTACAAGAACCAGATGAACACTGATGTGCTCAATGTAAAACACTATGATCAATGGAAAACACTTCTTCTCCATTCATCATAATGACTTGGGCCTTTTTTGTTCAGTATTACACAGACATTACATACATAAGTGTGTTGTAAATATTTGAGAATATTGTTTTTATACCCAGAACACACAAATACACGGTAACAATATATTTTATTTTTCCCACTAAAACAATGGGAGATCACACATTTCATACACCCCAACCAACACAATAGAGTGGTCTACATAAAAAAACAACAGAAAAAAAATGTGTATGCTGTTACAGTAAAAAAAATGAATATATATGCTGCATCCTCTCTTCGGTTTTGGTATTTTATGCTAAAGCTCTGATTGCTAATTGTAAAATTGTGTGAAGTGTTTGCCCATGTGACGAGTCAGTGTGAATATTTGAATGGCAATGTGTTTTCTTTGTGAAAACAAGAGATTTTCTGCATGGAAATTGTGCCAAATGCAGAGAATTTGTGTGTAGTGTTTTGAAAAAAGTGTGTTTTAGAACTGCAATTTGAGTGTAAAGCAGGAATTGTGCTTGTAGTTCAGTAGAATTGGCTCAGGGGGTTGGTGAATGAGTTACATGTTGTGGTCATTGTGTCTCAAGTACCAGAATTTGTGTGTAAACAATTGAGAAAATCTGTAACTTTGGGCCAGCTCATCACCATGGCAACGCATCTTATGAAAGCGTAAACTCATTTTCTCACTTTGTAGCGAGTAAGGAGTACAGACAGCAATCGGTGTTTTTGCAGTTGTTGATAGCTTTTTTTGTCGAGTTCATTATGGGACAGCGACAATTTCGTAGAGTGGGAGTTGAGGAAGGAGGAGGTGAGTGTGTGCGCGGGATAAATCCCCCAACACTGACACCCACCGACCACAAGGCGGAGCTGCATCCTCGGCCTGACGAGACGCCTGTGGGTGTGGGCATCGATGAGGGAGGCGGGCAGGAGAGAAAGCAGAAAGGAACAGAGGAACCAAAGAAAAACAGGCAGAAAAAGAGGGCATTTCGGAGGTTTTCCTCTGTTTTCTTTTTTTCCTCTCGCCCCAAGTCCACCAAAGCTCAGGATGAGCAGGTGGAGCAGTGTGAGGTGGACCAGGACACTGATGAAGCCCCATCCAGGAGGTGTACTGATGGTAAATGACAAACTCTCTTAATTATTTACACACAATATAAAAAACCCACATTACACATTATGAAAAGGCAGATACATTACTTTATTCCACGATATGATGAATGTTTGGCGCTTTCATCAGACGCGTTGCCATGGTGATGAGCTGGCCCAAAGTTAACTTCCGTTCTGTTTGTTTATTAGTGTTTACTGGTTTATATGGCATTGACTACAAATGCAGTGAAAGCTAAGGTGATGAGCAGGTTGTTGAGCTGTGGAGTGCAACCTGACCTTGGGAGCAAACGCACTTTTTAAAGATAAAAATGTCAAGGTTTCCTATGAGGGAGACCGCGGTATTAAAATAGCCTATGTTTGTCTGATGATAGTGATAACCGGTAACTTACAGTGTTTCCTATACATTTATTAGTGGCAGCCCACCACATTATCAGCGCTGACCGCCACATATTGATGATTTCCATGTTTTTAACAATTTAAGATGGGAAAAGTCAGTCGTAATTGACTGGAGAGTTGCGTGCAGCGCATCTCTCTCTCTCTCTCTCTCTCTCTCTCTCTCTCTCTCTCTCTCTCTCTCTCTCTCTCTCTCTCTCTCTCTCTCTCTTTCTCTCTTAAGTTTGGGCCAGATGAATGCACATGCGCAGTACCGTTTGTTTATGTTGTCACTGCTGAAAGCGTCTATAATATAGTTTCAAGAAGTGACGGATGATATGATTTAAAACAAGCTTATGGTTGATATTCCTCTCTTTAGATCAGACTTCTTTACAGGACATCATCTGTTCTGTAGAGGATAATGATCATCAGGCACCTTCTTCCAGTAGTCCTGAAGTCCCCTCCACTGCCAAAAACCAGCAAGTGGTGGACGTCAAGCCTCAAGATCCAAGTCCAGCCAGTTCATCATCAGGTGACACTGGATCACATCTGCTGAGACAGCTGGACTGTGACAAGATCGTGAGGGCAGAGGGTGAGTTTACTGCCAGTTTACGCTCTGACATAAAATATGACACACACACACACACACACACACTTACATACTCTTTCTGAAAGTTAGGCTAATATGTATAAAGGAAATCATATGCTTTAAATAATGATGCCATTTCCACTGTAAGTTTTTTTTTTTGTATTTCACTTAAATAGTAATGTGACAAATGAATTTTTAAAAGTACAAATACCGGTATTACAAATATATTTCCAGATGAACATTTAATCAAAAATGTCTTTATTAAACAGTAAACAAATAAAAATAATTCTGTTTTAATAGATCACATTTGCTGGAAATATGCCATTGGCAAGAAATTGGGGGAAGGATCATTTGGCTCTGTCTTTGAAGGGACCCGTTGCAAGGACGGCCTCATGGTTGCTGTGAAATTCACAGCGAAGACAGGGAAAGAGCCATACATCAGCCTTGTACGTAGACTGTGCTCTCTATATGTTTGCAATTTATAACATTTTAATGTAAATCACAGAGTAAAAATAGATAGACAGAGAAACCATTCCTATATCAAATAATAATAAAAACTGTCATTCTTCTAGCCTGACCATCCCAGACCAGTTCCACTTGAGGTGGCCCTGACAGTAATGGCCAATCAAGGCCCATGCTGTCGCCACATAATAAAGTTGCTGGACTGGCAGGACCATCTCGACCAGTACATAATGGTCTTAGAAAGACCCTCTCCCTGCATGGACATGCACGGCTTTTGGCTGCGTTCCAGAGGCCGCTTCAGTGAGAAACTGGCTCGTCATTTCATGCGGCAGGTGATCGTGGCTGCTGCCCTGTGCTGCTCTAGGGGTGTTCTGCATCGGGACATCAAAATGCAGAACCTCCTAGTCAACACAAAGACCCTGGTGGTTAAATTGATTGATTTTGGCTGCGGAGACATCATGAAATGCTCATCCTACGAAAACTATGCTGGTATGTGTTATCTTTAAAACATATATTTTAGGATTTAAACTCTAGTGACCAGTTATGCTATGTCTTAATCAGACATCACACAGTGAGATATTAACAATACACTTACAAAACTCTCAAGGAATGGTCAATATTAATATTATTTTTGTTGACTAAAATAAATTAAAAAAAAGCTAGCTTACACATGTGACAAACTCTTATCTCCAGGCACGGCAGTCTATTGCCCCCCAGAGTTCTTCAAGAAGGGCGAGTACTTTGGGAAGCAGGCAACGGTGTGGTCGCTGGGGGTCCTGCTGTTTGCCATGATCAGTTGCCGTTTCCCAGACAGCAGAGATTTCGTTTTGATGGACCGTGATGTCTGGTTCCAGTCGGGCTTCTCAAACGGTTAGTACAAAAAAGATGTTCTTTTGGATAATGCAAGAATCTTTCCCATTTTTACAGCTCAGAGAGCAAGTGTAAAGTTGAAGGAAATAATTAGACAACTCTCAATCTTTCTGCACAGAATGCTGTCGCTTTATCCAAGGTTGCCTGAAGAGCGACCCAAAGCAGAGACTCCATTTGGATGAGATGCTCTTCCATGACTGGTTCAAGGTACAGAGTCTAAAACAAGCTAAAATGATTTTGAAGATATATATTTATATTGGCCCATTTTGGGGCTTTTTATCTGAATATGGACATCAGCTTCTTTACATTACCATTCAGTACCTGCTGTAACTCAATCCTTATACATGGAACAGATGTATTTTTATACCTTATGAAAAATGTTTTCTAATTGTGTTTCAGGTCATCGAGGAGAGACGGAGAGATGGATCTCTCCAGCCTCAGCGTCTTGCGGGGCTGGCAGGCCTTGGTTGCGCCTGGCGCCTTGGCTTGAGGTGGTTTTAGCGTCTTGCGGTTCTGCCTCCATCTCTCCAGCCTCAGCGTCTTGCGGGGCTGGCAGGCCTCGGTTGCGTCTGGCGCCTTGGCTTGAGGTGGTAGTTTTTGCGTCTGGCAGAACTACTTGCCTAGGGATGTGTGTATATTGTAAATAGTTCGTTTAGTTTTACTTAGTTAAGTTAGCCCCTCCATCTCTCCAGCTTCAGCGTCTTGCTGGGCTGGCAGGCCTCGGTTGCGTCTGGCACCTTGGCTTGAGGTGGTAGTTTTTGCGTCTTGCAGAACTACTTGCCTAGGGATGTGTGTATATTGTAAATAGTTCGTTTAGTTTTCTTAGTTAAGTTAGCCCCTCCATCTCTCCAGCTTCAGCGTCTTGCTGGGCTGGCAGGCCTCGGTTGCGTCTGGTGCCTTGGCTTGAGGTGGTAGTTTTTGCGTCTTGCGGAACTACTTGCCTAGGGATGTGTGTGTATTGTAAATAGTTTGTTTAGTTTTACTTAGTTAAGTTAGCCCCTCGATCTCTCCAGCCCAAGCGTCTTGCGGGGCTGGCAGGCCTCGGTTGCGTCTGGTGCCTTGGCTTAGTTTTGGCGTCTTGCGGACACATTGGTGTCTCACAGTGGATTCGAACCCGGGTCTCTCACACCAAAGGCATGTGTCTTATCCACTGCACTATTACCACCCCGCATTTCTCAGCTGCCTTGGGCCCAGAGATCCTGTCAGAGATGCTCCAGAATTCTCAGTGAAGACAGCCATAAAGCTTCCCGTCTCTGCTGCTCTAAAACCTGCTGAGGCTCCACAGAATCACTGTGAAGGTTCATTCTGCTGCAACTCCAGTCCCTGCTACAGTTTTAGAGCTCCGTGTCAAAGAAGCTCAGGTTGTTAAGCTTCCCAGAGGTTCCTGACATGACTACAAAGTTTCCTCCTTATGGTGCAGAGGTTCATGCCACAGTTGGCAAAGAAGTTCCAGCTCCACTTGCTGGTTTTCGGCAGTGGGGGGGACTTCAGGACTACTGGAAGGAGGTTCCTGACTCCTATATACACCTGTTTACCACATTAAAAACAAAATGTTTCTGAAAATGTCTTGTTTTATCAGGGAAACATTTCCCTATTATGCTTCAGTTCTAGACATTAAGCCTCTCATTTTACCCAGACTGATCTAATGAAATGGCGTATGTATGACACGCCAATTCGTATTTCCATTTTTGGCGGGCTATCAACACGCATAATTGCTTTTTAGCATGTTTATGAACGCCGTTGACTTAACGTTACATTACTGTATAAATATATGACCAAGCCCAACCCCATCACTAAACCTACGCGTCACTGGGGTTAATGCCATTTATGAGTCTTCCCCTACCATCCTAGGAAAAAAATATCGCTCCCTAGATGTAGATCTACATTTTGCTTTGTTTCGATCGGACATTTAACAGCGTGTACATACATGCGAGATCATTCAGACATTTAACGACGTAGACATACACGCAGATAGCTTAAAATGCGTATAGATACCGCGCCACTTGACTTGAAAGTGGCGTGTATGTTTACGCAAAAGTCATGATGTCATGTTGTTTACCAGTTTCACCAGGTAAGTAATGCGAGGTAAGTGACTTCTCAAAGTAGAGTTACACTATAAGGACCTCCATTTAATATTTGAAGCTCAAAGTATCTGCATGTGATTCACCTGCAGACAAGGTCCAAACGCCAAATTTGACTTTGGGGAGGAGATAAAGCTGGGTTACCTGATAGTGGCAGATACCTTTATGAAACTCTATATATAAAATATTGATATACATGAAATTTGATGAATAACAAATTCAAATGGAAGACATACAACCCTAAACAAAATGTTTCAACTTGCATATGGTACAACTTACCTCAATGGGAAATTACCATTAGAAGATGTGCTATTCCATGTTATAACCCCCTTGGAGATCGCAGACAGTCATAATGTAAAAATAAATTATTTTAACTCTTTTGCCTTTATGTAAAATTGCCATTGTGAAAATGAAGAATGAATTAAGTCAGAACAAAGTCAGTCTTGTTAACTTCTCTATCAGGCTATTGACCATTTTTTACATTTGCTAATTATTCCAGTTTAACTCATTTGGGTTAATATTTTGCAGTAATTTCAAATAAAATTTATGTTTTTACATAATCTGAGTCTGAATTTATTACACATACAATACAAAATTTTCTTTGAGGAATCTTTTGATTAAGAGGAAGAATAAAATGGGCATGTTGAAGTAGATGGACCTCGTGAGGAAGTATAAAGGTCTGGAGAGTCAAAACTGCTGTGTCATAAGGGCGTCCCATACGCATAACACTCATTCTGGTATGTACAATGCTATGGGTCAGGGTCTGTGACTGTCATCATATAGTAATTGGCATGTCTACATTAATGGGTGTCTACGCCTGCGTGCCTGGAGTGAGGACAGTCGGGCGCCTGTTAGTGTAAGGTAGCAGGAGCTGCAGAGAGATGCATATGGGTGGAGCAGTAAATTAGGCAGCTGTCAAACTGTGATCATATCATTAACAATTAATAAGTGCTTTAGTAAAAAGGGATCAAATAATCAGCTTAATCAACTTTATCAATTGTTCATTTGAGTGATCTCCAGAGTCCTTGCAATAGAGGGCAACAGTCTGGTTCTGGAAGTAAAAACTGTCGATGGCGATAACTTAAATGTTTGCGAACTTTGGCGGAATCTTAAAAAACAGCCCTACTGTAAGCAACAACATTGTTAATCCATGGTTATTGCTTCTGTTGAATCCTATAATGCATACAAATATAATGCAACCGGTATCTAAAATGATTATTTCTAAAATAATCATTTTACAGCTGATTTTGTGGTGTAAAAACTACCTTACCCATAATTTCAGGGTGATTTCTGTTCAGAAAATTCCACTAATCAAAGAGCTGCGGCAAGCAAAATACCCCAAAAGAGCTGTTTAGCTCCGCTCACTCCTATAAAGCACTATGAATGATGTAATCAAGTCAAACTCCCTATGATCTCAAAATACTTAAAGGTGGGGTGAGCGATATTTCATAATCGCTGTTGGACATTGTTGATATTTGAAATCAACCCAAACAAATGCACCCCGCTCTTCATTGCTCCGCCTCCAAAACTCACCCTCCAATCCTAACTGCTCTGAGTTATTCTCGAACCTCGATCGCCACCGGTATGCCAGAACTCTAAAAATGACGCTAAACGCACTCGGAAAAATATTTGTTCATTTTGATGAACGAGTTCGAACAGGAGAGTCACGAACGTGCATCACAGAACAGACCAAGGCGAGCATTTGAGTTTATAAAACTTTGTTATTTATTTATTAAATGAGCGATTGTTTCGTTTAGCTTGATAAGACCCTTATTCATCGTTGATTAAACTCGATGACTAAGCTCACACTTGCTACGGTATCTAAGCAATTCAAAGAACGTTAAAGGAAGTTAGGTTGTGTAAAAAGATTCGCTGACAACCACACACAAAGAAATATTTTCAAGGCCATCTGACTTTATTCATCAACTATAACCTGATTTTATTGTATGGATTATGTGACTTATCAAAGTGCTGAATGAACTGCAAACACAGCATATCAATACATCAAATGGAGTCATTAATCAAGAACAACTGAGGTAATGTTCAAATTAATATTATTTCTAGGATTGTAAAATATACTATTCTCAGTTATTATGACCTATCGATTTAATCAAAACCAAACAAGCAAAGTGAAATCACTGTCTGGATATCAACAGAAAAAGTACATTATGTCACAATAAAACACAAAAAGAAAGCAAATGTGACTGGCTCTCAAGACACCAGCTACTCTGTTTTATAAAAAATAGAGAGAGAACAATCAAAGACCGTTAACATATAATTTTCATAAAAACCAAATGGAAAGAAACAAACATTCAAAGCAAGAATGCACGTGGAGTATTAAAATTACGATTTTTGACTTTTCCTAACTGTATGTGTGACAGCTTGTTCGACAAACTGCTTCCTCTGGATGAGACCACTGAAGTCCCAGAGATTGAATAAGATCCTGTATGAAGTCGAAACAAAACAACAAAAATGGCCCCAAAAGATAAAAGCCCAAACCACCATTAGATGACTGAAGAGAAAAGATGCCTTTAATGTCTCTGGTTTGTATAAATGTCTCAGTCCTGAGGGCTTGGAAAAGGCAATGCAGATCTCAGATCAGTCCTCTGTGCTCAGCAGAAGCTGTTTGTTTTCTGTGAGGTCCAGACGGCCCTCAGAAGGAATGTACTTATACAGCTGTACTTTTGGTGCCAATGTACGGCCGCGCAAACTCCACAAAATCATCAATAAGAACTGGCCATGCTCCTTAAAAAAAAAAAAAAAAAGAGGAAAAATCAGACATACCATTAATAGGAGATTCATTTTCATTTGAATTTCTCTCAATCTGTGCTGCGTAACAGGAATGAACCTCATTGGTTCTTGCTGAAGCTCAAACATGCGGCGTAACACGAGAATGAACCTCACTGGTTTTTGCTGAAGCTTAAAATAGCTTTTATGGGTGAACTCTGAGCCTAGTCCCAGAATAAAATGCATGTTTAAGCTGTTTTAACTGAAAGCAGCTTGCACTGACATTTCTTAAAATATATCAGTGCAATTGTTTTGTCGCAAGATGCACACCAGTAATGTTTTTTTTTCTAAGGCACGTTTATAAAACGAACTTGAACTAAGGCCTAATCCTGGCTTAATCTAAGCCCTGTCTGTGAAACCAGGCCTGAGAATGTAAGATAATTATCCAAACAAAAGAAAACAGAATAAATTAGTGAAAAAAGTTCCAACTAACCCTCCTCATCGTAGTTTGACATATCGTCTGTGATCATCGTGCTGAAATCTAACAAAAGGTTCCATGTGTCTTTGGGAATGGATCGCTTATGATGCTCCTGCAAATTGAAAAGCAAAGCACACACAGAGTTATCATCCAGTTTTCAGTGATTTAACATTTTTTTTTACTAGTAAAGGCTGCAATACACTACGCAAATTTTACCCAGATCTTTGCCCCTATTTTCAGTCTGGACGTGTCAATGGTAGTTGCTGAAAGTCAGAGCCAGTCTATCTAGTTTTGGCAGTCAAGAGTTGACAGATTTCACAGAAAACTGCATAGTGTATGCTAGGCACAAACTCCCATTTTTTTCAGACTTGTCTTGAGTCTGCTAGCCATGCAGAGCATGTTTTGTGAGTTTGTTGTGGTAGGAACGACTTGAAAGTCTGGTAGTGTGTGATCCTCAGTCACTTAGTGTATGATGTACAGTTTTTCTCCATTACCTTTTCAAAGTCTGCAAGTGTTTGATGCATTGTGTTTTAAAATCTGTTCAGATTATAAAAGTCGAGTACTGTATTCTATTAATATATCAAGGTATAATTGATTCATTGTTTTTAGTTGATTCATTGATTTTAGTGCAAGACTACCTTTTTTTTTTTTTTAGTTTGGTGATGCCAGTGGGGCAAAAAATAAATTTCAGTTTTATAAATCAACTTACAGCCAGGAACAGAATGATACTCACCAATAAAAATTTGTTCCATAGATCTAGAAATTTAAAACGCCCAGCCAATATTAAATTCCAGTATGCAATTGCCATTTCTAGGTCTAGAGAAAAACAAAACAATAAAACTGAAAAAACACTAGATAACTATGCAAAAAATTAAAGTAACAAATGAGAATGAACCCAAAACATGCCTAAGCCCTTTTGTCCTGGATTCTTAGCAAAGTTGAATGTGAACTGATAGAAGTCTTTAAATTTCCCTTGGTCCTTCAACTCTTGCTCCATCCTAGGCAGCTGTGCTTTGAGTTTCTCTATGCTGTCACACCTTGACAAGATAATGACATAGTCATTTGATGCAGTGAATGGTAAAAAATGATTTAGAGAGTGTTGTTGTGATAAAAAAAATAAAAAATACCCTTGCTCAGCCATTCCCTCCATGAATTCTTGTTTGGAGAACTCGCATTGTGTTGCTGCCCGAAACTTCCAAGCGATTAGCAGTACACTTATACTGGCTGGATCAAGTCCCAAGTCATCACAGAACTGCTGAATTCCATCTATACCGATCTTGTTGTCATCTTGAGGGTCTGTAAAAATGAATACAATATTAAATACATACTATATTTACACACAAAAGTTTGAAAACATTTTTGAAAAGTCTCTTAAATTAAATTAACTGGTTTCTGTATTTTCATCATCATTACTTCAGTCTTCAGTGTTACATGACAGCAAAGACATTTATGAAATCAATAGATGTTACAAAAAAATATTTGAAATAAATGCTGTTCTTTTGAACTTTTTATTCATCAAATACTAGTTTTCAAAAAAAATATTAAGCAGCACAATTGTATTTAATATTGACAATAATAAGAAATGTCATCAAATCAGCATATTTGAATGATTTCTGAAGTGTAAAGACTGAAAAAAAATCCAGCTTTGACATTGCAGGAATAAATTACATTTAAAAATAAATCCACTTTTAATAATATTTAAAAGTATTACTGTTTTTACTGTATTTTAATCAAATAAATGCAGCCTTGGTGATATTAAGAGGCTTTTTTCAAAAACATATAAATGCTCACCTCTGTACCGATTGTAGAGCTGTTCTAACTTTTTCCGGTCTAGTGTTCCCTTTAGATTCTGTACGTAGAGGTCAGGATTTTGGAAAAAGTTGTCTGTAGCAACGTCTAGTTTCCAATCATTTTGAGACAAACAATTCAAAGCTGTTTTCTCATTTGACTGGGTAAAGATCATGAACTGGCGAACTTTATCCTTCTGAGAGGATTTCAGCTTGTTCTGTAATAGGGGTAGAGGAGAAGCATAACGGTATATTCAGGTAGTTAGATATTGTATATCAACAGTAAAAGTAAAAAAATATATATTAACAGTAAAAGTAAAACAGAAGCATTTCCTTGTGTACAAACACAATCAGAATCAATGTCATAAGGATCACACATGGCTTGTCTTCCCCTACACTATATTTTATCGAGGGTATAGAAATAATTTGCTCTACTGACACGTGTATATAAATACAAATACATATATTACACGAACACTTCCACGAAAACGCTTGTCTGCTTAACTGCTTTTAAGCAGAATTTCACACTGTTTGCAAAAGGTTTTGTAAGAGATTAAAAAAACGAAAA